TTATTATAGAAGATTTCGAAGTTGAACTTCTGTATGTAAACAACATAAGTAACATTTGGATATGTAAATTTCGATAGAAATGCAACAATGTGAATCCACATTTAAACGTGATGAGATGATACGATGTTATGTTTGTGTTCTTTGTCAGTGAGAAAATCTAGGAATCTTTCTTCCATAAAAAATACTAAAAGAAGGAAAACACGAAAACTATTGAAATTAATAGCATCTTATTATTAAAAGTGTTACAACTGTCTGCAATGATGTTCCCCAGATAATGAATATTCATGTAATAATTCAAAATATATAACTTAATGATAAATGACTAAGAGACCCAAATTTAACATTTATTTGGGAAGATATTTTTTAATTTATTTGTTAACGCCTTGAAATACATAAACAGAAAACAGAAAATAATTATACTTCACTGTGTGATAGTGGCAGCCGAAGTACAGTACGCGAAGCTCATAATTTTTAGGGAATGAATAGGAGACCCTTGTACATTGGGCTACTTCTTTATTGTCATGTTTTCCTTTCTTGTAGAGAACTTGCATATCTTTTGGACCCTATGATAAACTATGTATTTAACCTGAAAATTCTTGAATATTATTTCAATTTATAATTTAATTTAAATGTTTGATTTTAAAAAGACCACGAAAAGCCGTAGCTAGGCCGCGAGCTCCTTTACCGCTCAAGAGCAGCGAGTCAACGTATTCGCGCAACTTTTCTTGCACAATGACCTTGCTTCCTCCTCTCTAGCACAATAAACAGATGAAGGCAAAATCTTGCATCGAGCAATGATGACAACATTCCGAACACAACTTCTCTGGCGCGAAGTAGAAACAATTTTCTTTTGAAGACGAGAACTTGTATCCGTTATTTTCTCTAAAAATGTAAAGAAATGACCGAAGCAGGTACGGATCTATCACAGGAGATACCTCGAACTCCTGATAAAGTTAGAACACAAATTATTGAGAACGTTGCGAAGGCATGACTGATTCTCCAGAGAGTGGCATTGCTTTATAAAATCTAGTAGCCTATTTCTCAACTAATACCCCCAGTCCAACCGCATTTCTTCAATCCATTGTTCAAGAGAAGTTGCGCGAGTAATACATTGACTCGCTGCTCTTGAGCGGTAAAGGAGCACGCGGCCTAGCTACTGCTTTCCTTAGTCTTTTTAAAATCATACATTTAAATTAAATTATAAATTAAAATATTTTCAAGAATTTTCAGGTTAAAAACATAGTTTATCATAGGGTTCAAAAGATATGCAAGTTCTCTATAAGAAAGGAAAACATGACAATAAAGAAGTAGACCAAGGTACAAGGGTGTTCTATTCATTCCCTAGAAATTATGACCTTCGCGTACAACCGTTGCGTGAAAGAAATACAATTTCCTTAGACGTGCCGAGTGCTATGTCACCTACTCGAACAAGTCTCACTGGCGCATGGCTCGAACTGTCGCCGGATACTCATCGTGGACGTGTCGCTGACCTGTACTCCGATTAAATCCAGGGCGAATTGGCTTTTGATCACCTCGATCGCGGTTATCCAATCGGGAGCCTCGTTACAACTTCATTTTTGACGTTGAAGCTCCCGATAATACAAATGCGTCCAGGTGATCAAAAGTCAATTCGCCCTACGTTTTAATTTTTATATTTAACTTCTGCTTTATTCGCAATTAATTTTACGAGATCTTTGGCAGATTTTTATCCATTACATACAAATGCAAAAAAGAAATTAATTTACAATTACAACTAATGTTACCCAGTGACAAATCAACTGAATTTGAATCTAAGATAGAATGGTATCTTCATGATCGTCTGGTGTCTTCGCTATTATTCCGAAAGGTTGAGCATCAGGAAGTTTGGAGATTCTCAAACCTCTGCTGATATCTGGAATTGTAACTTGCTAATTACTTCTTTAACAGTATTTCCTTTTAAATCACTATGAAGGACATAATAGAAATATATCAATGAGGTTTAGACCCAGTGCGTCTTACTTTTGACTGAAATCATACCAATATTTCTGTATTGAAATTACTTGCAGTTCTCCATCGTGGGAACCGTTGGTCCAAATTGGTCTTTACATCCATTTTGTACAGCAAAATTTTATTTTTGAGTGACACTGCTTATTCGTGTCTCAGGCGACAGAATAATTTTAATACTGAGTTCCAGTTATTTTCGTTTAGAGTATTTATGTTTTTCCACGGCAATCATCTATCAAGTTGCATCCCTAGATATTTAACAGTATCCGCTAAAAGTACTTGTTTTATGATCTTTTTAATTTTGATCTTATTTATTTGTAAAGATCACGTGATTATACTTCGCATAATTTATTTGAATTCTCCATCTTTTAATTTCCTACGTTTTAATCAAAGCTCAAGCACAGAATACGTATTAATACACTAGCGTAGCTCAGCACATAGTTTGGAAAGTTAGGCATGCTCATGCATACAGCTAGCGATCCTGGTGGAGGTGAAGAAAAATTACGGTTAGCTACTACTATAGTATACACATTTTTTGTGGAATTGCGTGTATTAATAGCTGGTTAAATTGTTTTGTGTTTTTTCTTGACCTCAAGGTTTTATATTTCTAGGCTTTCAAGGACAAGTCATTAAATAACACATGCACTATTCTACAATTAAATGCAGCAATAATGAAGGGAAGATCCCTGAGATATGTTGTTTCTTACTACTCAAATGGACCCAGAAAGTAAAGATAAAAATGTATTACCTCCTAACAGGAATGTCATTTACTCCTAAATACCCTTATTTACTACTTACATGTCTAGATATTTCCATGAAAAGCATAGAAATACTCGTTCTTCCTCATGATACCACCATTCAATTTCAGTGAACAATAATCATTGTATTTAAATCATTTCTTTCCTTATAAATCGTTCAAACCGTCTACTTCACATATTGTTTCAGTTATATGAATAAGGAAATTAAAATATTTTTCAAAAATGTTTTGGTTAGATTTATTATTTATTTTATTTATTTAATAGGTAATTATTACAAATAAGTAAGAATTACTTGATCCTATGTGGCTTACTTGATCCTATGTGGCTAGGCCGAAGGCCTTTAAGCCATTACAATACCTACATGCTTTCGCGTTCTAATCTTTCGAATTCTGGTATTCACCCCAAATGGTCACTCCATCGCATCAAGGCCGCGGAAAAGAGACCATAAGGTACGGCTCAGGAAAAAACCTCTGAAGGGGGAAAAACCTGCCGTCAGAAGCCGAGTACATACTAATCTACCCGACGTTTATTTTAATTATTTTAACTATTAGATTTAGCAGAACGATGCTATAATGCGAATGGTAGGGCTGTGTAGTACTCCTTGATCGCCGCACGGATCGCTAGAGTCGGTGACCAGCACGTCGTCATAGGACGTTTAACACGGAGCTTCGCTACTGTATAAATACGTATACTGCAGTACAAGTTTGATTTCGGAGTGTGTGGGAGCGGGCAACTCGTTCTCACAGCGCAGCATCAGAAGTACACTATGTGATCAAAAGTATACAAACACGTCCAATATGGAGTTATGTGTCCAATCTGGGTGGTCGTGTTTTTCATGGAGGGGACTTGCACCCCTTGTTGTTTTGTGTGGCACTATCACGGCACAGGCCTACGTTGATGTTTTAAACATCTTCTTGCTTCCCACTGTTGAAAAGCAATTCGGAGATGGCGACTGCATCGTTCACCACGATCGAACGTGTTGTGTGTGATCAAAAGTATTCGGACAAATCCAAAATGGTGTTATGGCGTGGTCGTGTTTTTCATGGAGAGGGCTTACAGCCCTTGTTGTTTAGTGTGGCACTATCACGGCACAGGCCTACGTTGACGTTTTAAACACTTCTTGCTTCCAACTGTTGAAGAACAATTCGGGGATGGAGATTGCATCTGTGAACACGATCGATCACGGGATGTGGCGGAGTGGTTACACAACAATAACATCCCTGTATTGGACTGGCCTGCACCGAGGTCAGACTTTCATCCTATCGAACACCTTTGAGACTTCGTGCCAGGCCTCCGCGACCTACATCGATACCTCTCCTCAGTGCAGCACTCCGTAAAAAACGGGCTTCCATTCCCCAAGAAACCTTCCAGCACCTAATTAAAAGTATGCCTACGAGAGTGGAAGCTGTCATCAAGGCTAAGGGTGGGCCAACACCCTATTGAATTCCAGCATTACTGATGGAGGCCGCCACGAACTGGTAAGTCATTTCATCCACGTGTCCACATACTTTTGATCACATAGTGTAGCTCGCAAGAGGTGTTTGGTGACGGCTCTTGGAGCAGGTAAGATGCGTGCCCTTATAAAAATCTAGTTGCATACATAATAAAACGTAAAACTCTTACAGTTTTGTAAGTATTTTCTTTTGGAAAAATAAACTGCACTTTAATTATCTATGTGCGAGCTGTACCCTTAGTTGAAGTGTTTCATTAAATTATTTGGGCAGTCAGCCTTGGTTGCTCTCTTGCTGTATCATCGCGCGCCTCTCTGACAGGCCTGAATAGGCATCGGATGATGCCTCGCAACATCAAATATTTATTACTTGTTTAATTAATGTGATTCAGATTATTTGTGCGAGTTACTTGTTATTGTCAGATACAAATTATTTTACGGTAGTATCTGTTATAGCGAATGAATTATTGCGCACACCTTTTCTCAGTTTAGCGATGTAGATATACAACAAATGTTGGTTTGTGGACCTGGAACGGAGTGGTTTTAATTAACAGCAAGCAGTGGAGTCACTGTTCCTAACATTTCATTGGTGTTAATTCGCATTCCTTTATTGACCTCATTGTTTAAAGTATGCGTCACAGATTCACTCACACTGCACATTTAAATATTTTATTATTTTGAGATCTTTTTTGAAAATTTAAGAAAAACAGTTTTTCATTATTAAGTATTTCCTGAATAAGAGGATGATTCCAGTTGCTTTTGAAACCCCTTGATGCATTGCCTATTGTTCATCTGATGATTTAGCCATGTTAAAGAGGTCTGCAACATTGCTTGGGGTTATCTGGACCGAGTTCGAGTAGCCAGGTAATTATGTCCACGTTCATCAAGTGACAGCCATTTGCACGCGCACGATGACCACCATTACAACGAAGATTGTTTTTATCCTGTAAATAAAAGTTAAATCCTCATTAAATTCATTACCGGCGTAATTTAAAATAGGATTTACCTTGCTAGAATGTAGTATTCGTATTTTTATGTAATAATGAAAATTGTTCATATCACTGTTCGAAGTATCATTTTCCTTAAAACTAACATAACATTTTTATTTATCTCGCAGAGTACAAGTGACGACTTTAAGCATGTCATATCCTGACTTAGTACTTTTCCCTCAGAGTTAAAAGGTAACATCACTTAGAATATGTAATCTATGTTTCTGTCTACCTGAGAAATAAGTGACGACAATTACCAAATGACTGCCATTACCCAGTCTTCCGTACATAAGTATTTGTTGTTCTTCATTAGATTAGTTCCTGGTTTCAGTAACTTTTCCGAGCGTACCCGAATTTTTAGTGTTCACAGTGAATATTTCACAATAAAAACTGACCATAGAAGTAAATTAGTTGGTATAATTGATGAGAGTATTTTGAAAGTTTTCAGAATGCTGTAAGCTCATGTTTCCAATATCATACGTAATATGAAAATTGAATTGAATTTTTCAATTAGTTAATATGTTTACTCAGATCTATTCCAAAATTACGAAAAAATTACACTTGTTCTTTTTATAATAATAAATAATATAATCATATATATTTACTTAACTTATGATTTTGATGATAAGCTGGTTTTATTTGAAAAGTAGTTATTTGGAGGAACCCATACGCATATATCAACATCGATGTGCGTAGCAATTTATCTGTTTGAACGCAAAAAAAATGGAAATAAAATTATATACAAATCGAAAAATTCTGTTTGTTAAACCCCTTTTTTTCTGGAACTAATGACGTCTAATTAATAATGACAGAAAATAGCGTTGAATAGAATTGTCGACCAAAGAGACAATCGCCAAAGAGTCATTTTCCTATTGAAACGTTGCTGGAGATCCTTTAGGTTGGAATCATTTCGCTAAAACGCCGAAAAGCATTTGCATGTACTGCACTGGCGCCACTGTGGCACAGCGCGGGGTCTGCGACGCGCCGAGGGCGGCGGCAGCGGTTGGCAGGAGTGCGTGGCGCCGCCGCGGGGGGCGCTGGCGGCGGCGCGGCGCACGCTGGGCCCGAACACGCGGCTCGTCGAATGACACAGTAAAGCCTGCTACTGGATAATAGGAAACTGGTTGATTACTAGTGATTCCGGGCACGTCAATTCCTAAGGTCATTAGTCCCGTAGGTGTAGTAGAGGTGGGAAAGCACCGCCACTTCCCAAGAAAAATAAGAATGCGTTACACTTACGGGACTAATGACCCTGGTAGTTGACGTGCCCGGAATCACTAAACCATTAATCAATCAACCGTATGTGTAGTGCGTTTTTTTTGCTCGGGAGGGGGCGGTGATCTTGCCCCGCTGGGTGGCGACATCCGGCGCCATCTTCCGTCAGCAAGCAGGGTTTTCCTCAACCAGGTATCTCCCACCAGGAGGGCATCATTACAGCTGGGACAAGCTCTATACTCCAGACCTGTCTCTCGGCATTGTGATAGTGTAGTGTAGTGTGCGTAAGTGTAAGTGTAAGTAATAGTGTAATATGGTGTTGGATAGGACAAAGAAGAGGAAGGAAAGATCGCGTGCGGTTCTTGGTCCGTTTGGTGCTCCGGCATTCGCCTGGTGTTGATCGGATGAACCACGGAAAACTACCGATCAGAGCAGCCGACCGCTAGTATTCTCCCCCAGACAGCGCAAGAAGTCGACCTAGCTATCTGGCTAGTGTCGAAAATCCTGCCACCTCGAGACTCGAAGCCCAGGACTTCCCAGCGAGAGACACTATAGTGACTGCAGTTGATGGACAGAGCTGCCTCTCATAGTGGGAAACCTGAGGACGTTTTAATCATGAAGCCTGTAAAGAGGATATTCAACTCCGGTATTAGAGGCACTCGGTGAATGAAGGAGCTTTTTGGGGGGTCAATAACGACGCATGTACACATATTTGACCAACGCCTTCTTCATTTCAGCTCTTTTGCTTATTGTACGTCTCGTATACCTGTTTATAATTTAGAAAACATTAGCGATTTAATTTTCAGCATCTTTTTAGAAAAAATATTTGGAGAATAAATAGCTCTAGTGAAAAAGCTTTTGAGAATATGAAACATGTGGAGTGTTGGGAATAAGCGATCTAAGCTCTTGCCCATTGAAGATCTATAGAAACCCTGTCTACTCAATTTCTTTTTTTGGAGTGAAATTAGTCAAAACAGGGTTCATCTGTTAATCCCGTACTTAAACTGATGAGACTTTTTTCCATTTTCCTGAATTAATATTTCTTGGCACTTACTTCACCACTCAACATTTGAAAGGCTCAGTTGAAAAAGGGGATGTTTCGCATTGACATAGTTATGAGATATTGAGGGTTGTATCTGGAGTAATAAATTTCAGTACATTTTTCAATTTTTAAACACAGTGCACGTGCACATAAGTGCATACTGTACTTAATAACATATTAAACAAAAAGAATTAGTTTTAGTTTTATATAATGCTAATAACTCAATTTCACAAAAATACTTGTTCTACGGAACCCTTCATTTAGATTTATTAATAATTCTGCAATTACGTTTGAAAACTTGGTGGCAGAATACACTAACTTAACATTACATAACTTAACAACTTTATAAATTAACGTGAACATTTCACCGTGCAATCTTTCATATTACTCCATTTCACTTCACCACACTGCGTTACACATAATTAATAATAATAATAATAAATAATAGTAATAATAATAATAATAAATAATAATAATATTAATAATAATAATGATAATGATTTGTCGACCGGAAATCCTTCGCGAAAACCAACTCAACCCCACTGTGTGGAGCGGAACGAAGCCGCGAGGGCGAGGGCGAGGGCGAGGGCGAGGGAGAGGGAGAGGGAGAGGGAGAGGGA